CTCATCTCCGGCGAGCTTCGACTGTTGATACCACCCTGAGGTCGAGGATTTGGTGGTTGTTGATAATTCATCTCCGAAGAGTTTCGACTGAGCGACATTGGATAGCCCTGCGGCGGAAGTGGCGGCTTTCCAATGTCAGGGTGACGGTCATGGCGGTCATGCGAAGTACTAGGACGAGCAGGCACTTCTTTTCTCTGGCTGTTGGACGTATGAGGTCGGGCCGCCTCATAGCCGCCACTAGGACGGTGCTCATTCATGTCAAGACTCGCCATAGCGTGATCCAGACTGGCGTGTCTCTCGTGCCTCATCCTGTCTCCCGGTCCTGGCTTCTTCTTGGGGGGAAAAGCGCCAAAGGGGTTGTCCCAGGCCAGATTTTTGGGGGATGTGGGCTCAGTCAAAATGCGGTCACGGTCTATAAAAGCGTCAGCGTTCAGTGTCCGATCAAACATCACCGCTCAGTCCTTACGTCTCGATCTCTTTTGAGGTGTCGAAGGCTCCGACCACTGATTCCTTGGTGGCCTCTGTGAATTGGAATAGGTATGTTCTTGCGGAGGAGGCCTCTCTTGTCCGTGGGTTCGATAACGCTCGTCATATTGATATTGCCGACCAGGAGGAGGACCTTGATCGTACGGGCCTGGCTGGGGAGGCTGTGAATATCCCTCGCCATTCTCATAATATCGTGCCTCATGACCACTTTGCTGGGGATATTGATTTTGACCTTCCCACTGCGCGTTTCGATCGTAAGCCGCCGGCGCCGGCGCCGGGCCTGGGCCATAGCCACTGCCATTGCCACTGCGACCCTTTGGATACTCCTTGTATCGTTGATTGTCCTGATTGTAGGGACCGTGACCTCTCCCATTCTCTTGCCATTGCCTCTGATTACTTCCACTGTCGTACTGGTACGAGGGTGTTGGATTTTGGTGCCATTGCTGGCCGTATTGGTTGCCAGCCATCATGATGAGAATGGGAACCAGACCTCGAATCAAGCCTGCTGCAGACAATCTTTTGCTCCTTAAACTGCATCGACAGCCGGTGTCTGCTTGTTGACGGAGACGGACCGTGCAAAGGAGAGGTGTAATTGACGAACAGAGCTGGAATTAGTGTCCGACTCGCAGTGTCTTCCGCTCAATGCGGCAGTGCGCGAGGAACATGGGAAAATGCCGAACAACAAGCTCTAGCCGCAGTGAAGCGACAAGAGTCGACGGACAGGCCGGGCGAGCGAACTGAACGCAAGCAAGAAGATGGAACGCAGCGATCGCAAGACCAGTTGCAAGGGAGTGAGGTGGTGCAGACTGGTGAGGTGGTCGAGTGAGCAAGCGAGACAAGGTCGGGTTGTTTGTTGCAGGTGGACACTGCTAACTAGAGCCTCCTTTGCGGGTTAGTTTGGGCTGTTTTGGCCCAGACTGCAGCTAACGGCACTGGCTGCTTGGTGCTTACCTAGGTACGGTAGGTACTTAAAAACTCCGGAGGCGTGTCGCAGGGGATCGGGACGCGATCACCCGGCTCGCCTAAGGCCTTTGCTTAACTTCAGGGGCAGAAGAGGGCACCGAGGGCACTGAGGGGTGGTCGCTCGCCGGGTACTCGTGAGGCCGGCCACAAGAGCAGGAATCCCACGTAATATTTTGGATGTTGTTGCTCTAGATCAACCTCCGACACTATTCCAGTCGTTGAATCCCTCGATAGACGTCCAAGTATGCAGCTGTGCAAACAATGTGTTGTTGACAAAGACAACGGAGCATTGACCTTGGAACAAAAGTCAACCAGGACAAAGGTTGGAGTTTGTCAGGCACAAGCCCATGATTCGCCGCAACCAGGCCTTCTCAGTCATCAGCCTCTTTGGCGTCCGACCTCCCGAGGCGATCGCCCGCTAAATGCAGCCTCTCAAACGGGGTTTGCGGGCTGCAAAGCCACCGATCTCCGCGTAACGAGAATGCGTCCCGACCTACTGGGCCTCTGGAGATCCTGGAAAAGCTGCTCTCCAAGTTGGTAGGCTGCCGGGCTGTGCAAGCAAGATACGAGGAGATCAAGTGTCAACCGCTATTCGGCTTTGTGCGTGTAGTTCGTATTAATTACCTCTGAGAACTCCTTCGCCACTCAAAGCCAGCCTATGACTACCGGGCAGTAGGTACTAGAGTAGTGCTTTGAAACAAGATTTGTGACAGAACTGCGACAAGGTTGTGGCTTGAAAAAGCAGGATGCTAGAGATCTGCCGTCTGCGCCACAGCTCCCTACCCTTGCCGAAATTTCCATGGCGATCAAACGGCGATGGTTTGGTGCCCGCACTTCTCTGGCGCACTCATGGCGAGGATTCTTGCATCCCTGAAGCCTTCAAGCTGCTCCTGTCCGAGAAGAAACAAGGCTGAACCCTGGTTGGCGAGAGCATGACCATCCCTTAACCCAGCTCTTAACTTCCCAGTTGTAAAACATCCTTGCACGCATCCTCCCAGCTGAATGGACCTTGCAGGTCTAGATAATGTGACAATTTTAGCCATTCACCGGCAGATTGCCGGAGTCTGATACTCCTGCCACGTACCTCGTACTCGTTATTCTGACAGTTGAAAGCGGACACCAGACGTCAACGGACAAGTCTCGGACAGATTCACCTCAATCTTTTCCGCTCGGTCCACTTCAACAAGTCACGACCGAGATTTCAATATCAGCAAACCCGCGGGCTTGGTAGACCTCTAACAAGCCTTTCGTGGTCAAAGCAAGAATGTGCAGTAGAGCTTGAGCGCCCACAATTTGTGAGTGCTGGGATGGTGGAAGGAGCTCGTCCAACATGATCTTCCTCGCCTGTCCTGCATTTTCCCCCTCCTCGATCACACCTTGCTCTTCTGCTTTCTCTTGGATCTTGGTATTGACGAAGGAAAGGAAATTGTCCGCTTCAGTGTCCAGAGTTGCTGCCACCCACTGGGATTGTGCAGCCGTTTGCGTATCCACGTTCACAAAAGGTCCGCCCAATTCAAAATCTGGGTCGATGTCTCCGCCTAGCCGCGCATCTAGATCTGCGAAATCGTCCTCATTGCTCGTGACTCGGGAAGTGTCAAAAGGTCCCTGGCTGCTGTGTCTGGACAGTGAGGCTAGACCTCTCCCGAAAAGTGGACTGGCAGAGGTAAGACGTCTGCTGAGAGCAGATGGTGGTCCCAACTCCATACCGCCATGGAGACCACCAATGCTTGAGCCCAGCCTCGAGATAATGCCGCTTCCCATGGGTTGCGCCGAGCTCTGGCGAGATCCAGAGATGTTCCATGGCAGGCCGGACAATTGGTCAGGCAAGGATGGAGGCCCTTGGCGACCAATCTCAGCTTCAACATCGAGGTCGTCGCCCTGAAATAACAATCCGTCCTCATCAGCATATGGGAGTCTCTCGTCGTCTATTCCGCGAGCGACTTCACCTTCGGATGTTGTTCTGGCTCTTACTCGTCTGTCGTCCTCTCGCTCGTCGGCGACCAGGGAACTACTTCGTGATCTCTTCTTTCCATGTTCAAGCCCTCCTGTCAACATGTCCCAAAGTGACTGACCACTGAACACGGTGAATGGATGTGCAACTCTATCATCTCCAAAACGAGATGCGACATTCCCCAGTCCTTGCTGTAGGATCCAGAATTCGGCGTTCTTCTGGGCTTGAAAGCGTGCTAGGTGGGTTTGTCTGGTACGTGAAGCAGCGACCATATTGGCAAGATAATTCTGGTTCCACTCGTTAAGATCTCGATTACTCAACTCTGTCTGCCGATCCGGCCGGATTGCCTTCACGGTGCGTACACGACGCTGGGGTGCATCTGCTGTCTCTGAGCTTTCCTCGGATGGTTGGACAGAAGAGGTTGCTCGTGTGCCTTGGCAGACTCCCTCATCTGCAGGCTCTGGAGTCAAAGGAATTTGAGGAGCTAGAGGTGGCAGGATTGTTTCTTCGTCTCCAAGACCGTTCACCTCGAGGTCTTGCATTGGGTCATCATCTCCTGCGATTGGTAGCTGCACGCTACCGCCCCGATCGCTGGCCGGGCCTTCGCTTTGCAGTGTATGCTCTGCGTCGGATGGTAGCTGAAGGCCCAAAAGACTCTCCGAGATGGCTGGGTGGAGGAAGCCATCCTCATCGACATCAAAGAGTGGATCATCCATGATGGCAGGTTCCACTTCAGCAACGGCGTACGGGTCGACTCTGCTGCCAGTTCTTGCCACAGAGCTTGATCCTCCACCCAAGGGTACATCGAAGCCACCAGCGGTTCCAGCAGGCGTATCGAAAGGCGGCATATCATGATCGAATTCATCTGCTTCTTCATCGCTGGGAGGGTGACTTGTCTGGCTTGAAGGCACAGTGAGAAACGATGAGGTGCTGCTGGAGGAATTGGAGCCTTCTGAGGCGAACCCAAAGGCAGAGAGGTCGAAGTGGATTTCAAGATCCGGAATGAAGTAGGGGTCTTCTGGGAGGTTAAGTTGTTCTGGTCTTTGCAACACAATCTAGATGAGCCGAGCGTTCACACACAAGGATTAAAGGTCTTCTGCGCGAATGAACTGACCGTGTCTTTCCCACATCAGGATCCAACTCCATCTCTTTGAAGACATGCTCCGCGTCCCTCATCTTGTCTCTCAAACTCGTGGCGTCGGTCAATACATAGCCGCATTGTTGCTGGAACACGCGCGAGACTCCAAACAGCAGACTGCCCTGCAATCTCAGGGCCAGTGGCACGTCGGGCTCCGTGATGGTCTTGCATGCTTTCTGAAGGTCCACGTCAAGGATCGCGCGACGCGATATCTTTTTCAGGTTGGACTTGGAGCCGAGCGTTGCCACAAGCCTGGTGAGGAAAAGTGAGCGCGTGCAAAAAAAGCAGGTCGCTTCCACAGTAGCAGATGGAAGTGAGAGACGGAGAGAAGGTAAGGACTGACGGCTTCAGGAACAACGGGGAATTTGAGGACGAAGAGGATCTTCTTACCAGATGGTTGCAACGCCATACTGACGACTCGTCAGGACTGTTTTGCAAACCCAAAGTCACGCGTCAGCCTTCCCTGCGTTGTATCTTCCCGCCCACCAGAGGAGAAGGAAGGACTCACTTTCGTGGCTGTAGAACATGTCGCCTCCAAAGGTCCGCCCATTCGAACTTGCTCAAGGATCTCGTCAAGCGCCAACGATACCTATCGGAGGGCCGGATCGTGGTGGACGTTGGCAGCGACAGCAGAGGGTGGGAGAAGAGAGGAAATGGCAGTAGCTGGTTAGTGGTTAGCGTGATGAACAGGATTTTGGAGCAGGTTACAGATGGGAGGCGAGTTGGAAGTGAGTGAATGAAGACAGTGAATCCAGCAGAGGATGCCCCGAGCATGAACGCCCAGCCAACCAGCCAGACCTGTGTGGTGCTGCCACTGTCATCATCATCGCCAGTCCCAAGAAAACGACAAAATAAAATATGCATACAGAGAAAGGTTCCATTTCGCTGTATTCCATTTCCCTCTTGATATTCATAGCCTCCCTCTCAAGGCATCTGCAATGCCTGCTCCAAGAAGCAAAACCAGGCCACCACCATACAAATCCCAAGCCGGGAACCTTTTCGTCCTTCTACCAGACTTCCATTTGTGAGGCGGTTCACACCCATAACTCGGAGGTCGAGATTGAACCAGGTATCGAGAAAAGACATAACGAAAGCCAGAGAGTTTGTTTCAACAAGCTCGAATCTCTTCCATCGCATCTCTGCCATGACATTCATGTTGCCCACGAAGAGAACCGATAGAGAAGAGGGCGTTCGTGCTCAAATAAAGAAGATTGCTCACAGATGGATCTCGTATCATTAAACCTGAATTTTTATTCGAATGCTTTTTGGGGTATTGTATGTTGCCGTCGGCGCCTTCATATACTCTAGTCTAGCCTCCTTCTCTACTCAAGGGGAATGCCCTCGTACTCCCCATAGCCCAGAGCCAAATTCATGTTTTCTGTGAAAGCAATGTCAGTATATGTCTAATTTCACTTCGGGCCGGGATCTGGAACTTACGAAGACACTGCGTTGCCGCTCCTTTCAGTAGGTTGTCGATCGTTGCACAAACCACCACCCTCTTTCCACTGCTATGCACAGCAAATCCACCGACCTCCACGCCATGCCTGTGGGCGATGTTCTTCACAAGGGGTGCCTCACCGATAATCTTCAACAGTTTCTCCCCGGCATAGCGGTCTTGATAAAGTGTTCTGATATCTCGAGATTTCATTTCCTGGTTCAGGGGAATGTTGATGGTATGGTGAATGCCCTGGAACCAGACGGCAACATGGGGAATGAATGCCACCGGTGTGCCTAGTTGGGTGGAGATCTCACGTTCGTGGATGTGGTCTGTTAGACTGTAGGGAATGATGTTGTCCGTGAGGTTGTTGACGTCGTTCTTCGGAGAAGGTTTGGTGCCTGCACCTGAATATCCCGAGACGCCAAATACTGTTGGTTGACCACCCAAGTATGGCACCAGAGGTGCAATGCCAAGCTGAGCGGCTGTGGCATAGCATCCTGGGTTCGAGATTCTTGTGGCCTTTGCGATTGCAGAACGGTCAACCAGTTCTGGAAGACCATAAGTCCAGTTGGGATCGAATCTGTAGTCGGCGCTAAGATCAATAATAACGCTCTTTCTGCCGACCTGATCGATGGCATCGACAAACGGCTTGCATACGCCATTTGGCAGTGCCATGACCCAGCAGTCGACGTCTTCATTCTCTTCCATTTGTCGGACGTCTTCAACGGTCAAGTTTTCGTAGATGATTTCGCGTTTGTTATAACCTTCAAGCTTCCTGCCAGCAAGCTCTCGCGATGAAACATGGCGCAGGTCCATGTTCGGATGGCGGTTGAGTAGGTCCACGAGAGCTTTACCGGTGTAGCCTCGAGCTCCAATAAGGGCTACCCGTGAAGGCTTGCTATTGGAGCTGTTTTTGGAGCCAAGAGGAGGATTCGGGTTTGTCGTGGAGTATGTGCGGATAGAAAGAGCTGGCTTGGTGACATATCTGGCTTGTCGTGCTGATCGCAACGGATTCGCCGAGGTCGAGAATGCTCGCTTCTGGGTCATGCCTTGAGCAGCAGTGTTGGTCGCATTGGACGCCGCTCTAGCTGCACGGTGCAGCTTAGCCTCGAGATTGATATCGCCAAACAACTGACGTCCATGCTTTGTGAATTCGACCATAAGGTCCTTGACCTCATCGCTAGTCTCAAGGCCATACCAAAAGAGGACTTCGCCGTCTTTGGAGAGACTACCGTCAGCCTTGTCGAAGAACCAGGTCAAGTTCTCATCATCCTCCTTGACGGTCCACATCAGCTTGGGGAAATCTTTCTTGATAGCGGCGAAGATATTGTCTGCGACGTTCGTAAGCCAGCCGTTCCTGGTTATGGTTAGGGTGGCCAGCTGAGCCAACGTTGTCTCTCCACTTGGCGGCAAGACAAGAGCAAATGCCTCCATCGGCTCATCAAAGTAAGCCTTGAACTCCCGTGTCTGGAGGAACTTGATGTAGCGATCCACTATGGCTTTGGCATCAAGCCCAGCTCGGTCACGGATAAGGACTTCCTTGAGCTTCTCGAGATCTTTGAACTGGCCGATAGAAGTGTTGACATGAACTTTGTTGCCCCGTCGGATCAGAGTACCGGCGCCAGAATCCGTGAACAATTCCTTTTGCAGATCAGCTGGGTGAATGATGGCAACGCTCGAGCTGCGAGGCAGGTCCATAAGGAGCTCCTTCATCTCCTTGATCTTCAACCTGGTGCCGTGTCGGACCCACCACTGTTGCATGAGGTGATCATACTCTTCATCCAAATTGATGGCGGAGATCTTCTCCTTCGTGTCACCATTGAATAACCCGCCTTTCTCGGACAGGTAGACGATCTTCAATGGCTGGAGTGCTCGAGCTAGCTCACCGGCCGCAACATCTGCATTCACATTGAGGACCTGTCCGTCTGATGTCTCGGCCATCGAGGTTAGAATGGGCAGACAACCCGCCTGGATAGCAGCCTCAATTGGTTTCTTGTCAACCCGGTTAATCTTGCCCACGAGGTTGTATTTCTCCTTGTCAAGATAGTCCGCCGTGAAAACTCCCGAAGTGATCGGTCTGGCTCGGACACCTAGACGCTCCAATTCTTCCACCAGCCGCAGATTCTCTTCGAGGAACAGGGCTCGTGCGATTCCCAACGTCTTGGGGTCTGTGACCCGGATTCCGTCCTCAAAGTGTGGCTCAACCCCCGAGTCTTCCAGAATCTTATTCAACTGTGGTCCAGCACCGTGGACCACAACGGGATAGAGCCCAACATGGTTGAGGAATGCAAGGGCGGAGGACAAAGTCTGCAGATGCTCGGTTAAGATGGCACCGCCGACCTTGATGACTGCAAATTGCTGGGACGACACCGAGCTGAAATGTGACAAGTACTGTTGAACCTCCCTCTTGGAGCCAATATTACTGAGCAACTGTACCACGGTCGACCTCGTCGAGGGGTAGGATCCCGAGGGAGAGGAATAAGTCCGTTGCGGAGACGTCTGCTGTACAGCGAGAGGGGTGTGTGAAGGCCTAACAAGGCGTAGAGCTCGAGAACGAAGAGACGAGGCCGCTGCCCGTCGAGTGACTGCTCGCGCAGTAGCAGCTCCCAATGCCGACATGGCTGCTCTCAGTTCATGCGGCAGCTGATAACAGTGATTAAGTCAGTGCTCCGGTGTCGGTGACGTGGATCGTGTTTCACGCAAGGTGACAAGTCGAGTGCGAGGGATGAGGAGGGGAGATCAGAATACAGGAAAACAACAGAGAAAAGCCAACTGCAGGTCTATTGAGAGCAACGCCGAAGAACCATATGTCCAAGATCAGAGCAGGGGAAGAAAAAACTTCAACAGCGTCGTCCTTTGCGTCAAAATTTTCTTGCTCGCCCAACTGCTCGATAGCAAAATATTTTGCGGGGTGATAATTCTTGTGCATGAGGTATGGGAGTGGCAGAACCAACCACAACCCCAACTTTGAAGCCCACCAGCCAGAGGCCAGCCAGAGGCCAGCCAGAAGCCAGGGGCTCACTAGGTGCTAGGCCTACGCTGCTTCTGCTGCCCACCGCTGCTTCTCCGAATTATGGGTGGCGTGCCAGTGCCTGCGACCAATTCTTCCGCTGGCTCTTGAGGGAAAAATTTTGCCAGGGAAAATTCTCTTTGCCGCCCTCCTGCACGATGAACGCACGGCATTGGCTTTCTAGCCCGAACAGGCTGATCGTCGCTCACGAGCGCTGGTTCTCTATCTGGCCAGCTGAAGTGTGCTATTCGAGGGTCTACTCTTGCAAATTTCTACTCGCGCCTGTCTAGGTCGGGATTGCTTGGTCCAGTCACACCGTAATGAGGATCGCGATGAAGACGCTCAGGTTGCACTGCAGGCGGCTAGATAACAGCATTGCCCTTGAACGGCTTCTCAACTTTGCTTTGGCTATTGTGCGAGCAGTGAGATCCACTGATCAGCCATAGACGAACCATAGACGAACCTTCGGCCGGGACAGCAGCAAGATAAAACATTGCAGGAATTCTATCGCAGAGGTGATGGCAGAATCCATTTTATTGAACGCCCAGTCGACAAGGGGAAGAAAAGCCCAATGTGCATTATTGTAACAGGAGTAGCCCCATCCCATCCATCATCCAGCCGTAAGCGCTCTCGAGCACTATTCAGAAAAGAGCTCTCATCACGCTTTCGCATTCGCTGTTGTTCTCGCTTTCAAGTGTTTCCTCCAGCATGGGGGAAGATTGTGCTGTCGTAATGTTCCAAGTACAAAGAATTCAGGTATCGTTTAACTGGGTTCAGCATTTATCGTGTGGCGACCACTGAAGCAAGTTAGCACTGGTATTATCCCTGGGGGAGGGAGAAATGGGAGAAGCGTACCGGCTGGGACAATAATGACAATGAGCAGCACAATGATGCCGACGATCAAACACATGCGCATCTTCATGTCCTTCCACCACATCTGTTTCCGGACCCGATTGGCTCCTCGGCGGAAACCCTGTGCAGAGACGGCGAGATTATCGGTTTTGTCTTGCAGCGAGTCTAGTCGCTCGCCTCTTTGCGACACCTTGTTGATGTTTTCACGCATGACACCGACGGTATCATCAATTTGCTGTGTGAGATGATCATGTCAGCTTCCAGCTCGAACAAAAGACGGTGATGACGGGTGAACTGTGTATGGGATGTCATCATTCCAACAATGAATCTATGAAGAGTTGGAAGACATTCGACTCTGTGGACTTTCAAACGGTGTGCGCTGATGGAATTCGCAATGTGAAATCCACCTGCGACACCTCAGGCAGCAGAATCGTCCACCCCAGCCCCGATGTCTTCTTCGCATGTGTATTCGGGCACGAGCCATATCCACGTACCGCTTGTAGGGCAGCTGTTCTTTGATTGCTGGCTGGCTGTGCGCCGCCTTGCCCGCCAGCAGGTATATAGGGATCATAAGGTGCTTCTGAGGACATTTTGGTAGAGTTGATGTCGGAGAGGGAGGAAGTCAAGTTGGGAAAGGAGCGAAATCGATGGTAGGGATGTCAGGGATGGCGGGATGGTGCAACGGCGACAGGGAGTCGATTGATCAGAGTCGAGTGCGAAGAGAACAGAGTGTTGGATTAGGTTGAGAATTCTGGGGTGCTGAGTGCTGATGGGGGTGGAACAGAAAGATAGATTGCAACGGAGGTTGGAAGTGCAAAGCTGACGAGGGCTGGTAAATCTGGAAATCTGGCGCTTGGACCTGCGACAAGCGCACCACCGGTCCACCGGTCCACCGCAGCCAGGAAGAGGCCGCCCCCGACAACTTCAAGTGGACAAGGGATTCTGGATCTTCTGAGACGAGCAGCAGCGCCACCAAACTTGTCTCGTTTCACAACACAAGCACGTGATGGGCCAATGGCTGTTCGTACCGAGTGCAGTGCCGTCACTCAGCTGCTCTAATAATAATATTAAATATTAAGAAATTACCTAAATGTCCCTCCGGGCTCCTTTTTCTTTGCCATCAAGCCTGGTATTAAATAGCCCTGAGGAACAGCAGAATAAAGACGCAACCTGTTCTCCTTCGGAGGAGGTGGCAAGTTTATCGGCCGACCATCTCCAGCTTCTGGCTGACAGATGATGGTTCTTTCTCCCTTACCCAGAAGAGGCTGTGCTCTAGGCGTCCTTACATCAGAAAGCGCTTGTTCGTCGCTAGTAGTATTAGTATTCGCACTGCGTAGCTGGCTGCAGGCTACAGGCTACAGGCTGCACTTGCGAACTGGATCGCTGCCTCGGTTTGCCGAGTTGAGTGCATTTAATGGCGCATTCATCTCGTGCTTGACTCGCTTCTGTCATGCCATGGCCCATCTCTGATTCCGACCGATGCCTCCGTGCGCAAGGCACTACCCAAGGGCCATGACACCCCGAATTGGCACAGATGACATGGTGCGGCCGGCTTTTCAATGCAGCCTAGATTCATGGCACCCCGTGGCTGGCACCCAGATGGGAGTCGGGACGCGTGCCAATTGCCCCCTAAAATCGGAAAATAGTAGGCGGTCGAGGTCGTTCGCCAATCAAAGCTCGCCAAGTCTATGAGAATAGGTTGTGCATCATTGACTTCAACGTCTCGCGCCTTCAACTTCACCTGCTCAAGGTGACAAAACGTGCCACCCTCGATTTCGTGTGTGATTCGCATCTTGTCACGGCCACGGTCCAATGAACACCTCGCGAGCGGATTGGAATTGAGCCAGGACCAAGGCGTCCAGAGCCGTTGGTGAATAGTCGCTTGAGAGCACGCGAGAATACAGATCGAAACCCACGAGCTCGCCCGCCATGGGTTCGAGGGGGTGGATGTATACCAAAATGGCCGGGGTGTAAGGAACAAACCTCTCCTCTGAATGTGATACCATGCTGACATCTCTGACCTACTCAAAGGTTCGTGTTGTGCTGCGTTGGAGGTCCAGCACTGATGTACTAGTAAGCCTCGACCTGACCCGCCGACTGCGACCTTGTTGTCTTCCATCCACCTCGCCGAGATGGTCTTTCTGCTGGAGCCTTCCACGTTTCTGCGTACCTATCTGACAAACCTGCCTCAGCGTAACACCCGCCGAGGGCGAAGTCTTCAAACGCTTCAATCCCGATCTCCAAAAGCGCAATCTCGAACTGCGGGAACAACGTCTCAAAAACAATGAGGAATTCGTCTCCAAGTTAATCGAGTATTCCAAATCAGATAAACCGGTGTGGATTGTCGCTGCGGAGGCCGAGAAGAGAGAGAAGGCTGAAAAGTTGGCAAAAGCAGCGGAGCAGGGGACGGAGAGGGAGACTATCAGGGAGCAGATGAGACGTGCACAGGCAGAAGGAAAGTAAAATTCTGTCTTCTGCATCCGGGAGATGATCTTGGACCAAGCGATCTGTACAAAATCTGCAAAAAGCAATGCGTTGAAAGAAGTCTACCCCTACCAGCGCTCGCACAAGATTTGCGCAAAGCTGGATGGGTCAATACCGTTCACACCGAACACTCAATGCTGATTGCTTCAGCGTCCGTTCTTGGCCGAGCTCGAGCAAAGGCTTTCTCACGAGAATGCCAGCTTCCCAGTGCCGCCTTTTCAGCCTGAGTATCGAAATATTCCCATATGCCCTAGCACCTGACTATGTTTGCCAGACACACAAACAGACCCTCGACCGCCAACTCTAGGCAGCGCAACGCCGGTTTTGATGCCAATCGTCAAATCATCACACGTGTCCTCCTTGGTCTAGCTTCCGCGAGCAATGCCGATCGTGTCAAACAGGAAAATCTGAGGTCTAGAGAACCATCCACCATGCGCCTCCCACAATGAAGAGAATCAACAAAACAGTCAAGATCGCCGCTCCAGCTTTATCCGCTGTGGTAACAACCTCCTTGTTCAGATCCTGGGGACCGATCGGGCTTTGCGTGCCAGCATTGGGATCTCCCTTACTGGTTCCTCCGGAATTCTGAGTAACAGGAGGGGCGACCTGGGTGACCAAATTGGATTGGATGACTTCCAAGGCCGACATTTGCTCTCCGACTCCAGTACTGCCATCGAATTGGCCCGTGTACCATTGCAACCCACATGAAGTGCCATTAACACCTCCTGTACAGACTGAAGCTGCAGCTGCAGCCGAAGTTTCCAAGAGCGGTTTCAAGAGCGGGTAGGTGAAAGGCGCTCTGATCATTGCCGCTGCCATCCATCGAGCTAGATAAGCCTTGAAAGAGCGTTGATCGACATCGCAGGTACTGGAACCGTCGGCGTTGACGCCTTCACAGGCGACTTCCTTGAGAATATTGTTATCCAGAAAGACACTAAGCCTCGCAATGATCCCATTTATTCTGTCCTCCCAGACTTGACTGCCACCGGTCTGCGTTGAAAGGTCAGTAAATCAGCATCGATGGTGGCGGTTAAAGAACGACTCACGAAATTGTACATGTTGGCAGCTCCGACAAGAAATGTGCCGGCGTTGTATGTCCATTGAATATGGTCGAGCTGGGTGCAGTTGATAGTGTCGTCGCTCCCGTCGAAAAAGTTGTACTGCGCGTCCCGCAGACCGATGGCCGATACCCAATCCCACATGCGATCCGCCCAGTCGGCATACGTCTGGTTTTGGGTGTAGACCGCCAGACGAGCACCCATGTTGAAAAAGCACCCATTCGAGATGGTATTCTTATAATTGTACCCGTTGTTGAACGCGAAAATCTGCCACTTCAAACCACCTCCACACGAGGTCGTGTCCCAGCGCGCCGCCTGCGTGTTGAAGACGGCCTGAGCTAGAGCCAACCATTGTGGCTGGTCTGATGGAGGATTGGGAAAGACGTTTTCTGCCGCAGAGAGAGCGGCCATCCCCCAGAAAGACTGGTCGTCGTTTCCCTCGGTCTTTGTCTGGTTGGGTGGCATGAAATCGTTGTCAGGGCCAACTTGATGGAGCATGCCTTGGGTGGTGATCTCATTGAATGAGTCGTCGCCCGTGAAGTACCAGTAGTCAATGAGTGCGCCAAACATGGCACCAGCTTCCCACCAGTAATACGGAGCAGGGAGATTTCCAGGGACATCTCCAGGTCGGTATCCTGTATAATATGACACCATCTCGTTGGCGACAATTTTGGCGGCGGCTTTTATTGAGTCGGTGCTGTTAAGGTCGAGCTGTATTGCGAGAGCATTTTGCACCAAGAGGACGGCCGATAACACCACATGCAGGCATTGTCTTCTGCGGAAGGGCTTCATTGTGTTGTGGGAGATGGTGTGAGAAGGAAGAGGTATCTGCGCCGGCAGCGAGCCAGCTGGAGAAGCAGCTCTATTCGTTCTATCGCCAGAGAATCACCAAGCAATCTATTTGTTCCTTGTATACGAGCGGCGAATGATGTCGGTGGGTTGGATTGGCTCGGTTGATGGGTGGACGTGGGGGCGAGATCTTGATTCTTGGTGCAGATCCCAGATCCGCAGGTGACGAACGAGGCGGGCAGCCGTTTCAAAGGTGGAGCAGAATAGCGAGTGACAAGTTCATTTGGTCAAGGAAGAGGAGTAGCAGGAGAGAGCAGAGTCTATTGTACAGAACCAGTTTTGCCAGTTTGAAAGAACGTGCAGGAACAGTTGAACGGACGCAGGAAGGGCACAAAAAGTCACCTAAGTGTGAAGTTGCATGAGTGGGTTTTCTTTGATTCCTGCGTCCGGTGGTTCCTTGTCTTGTCCTTGCATCTCGGGAATGCGAATGCACGTTGCGTGACCTTGCAACACCCTACGAATACGACCACTCCCCCAACCCAATGCTGGGTGCCATGGGCCACAGCCGGCATGTGGCGGAAGCTTAGCCAGTCGCCCACAGTGTCTAGGCTTGCGAGAGCGGCTCATCGGTATGCCACCTGGGCAGCTATGACGCCTATCGCAGTTAACCCAGTCACCCAGTCACCCACAATGGCTCTGGAATGCAGCTAGATGCGCACCTGCTGCATCGCCCTTTGCCTAAAGTGCACAAACACTCCATCCCAGCCCCTTCTATTATTCACTTTGTCCGCTCTATCACATCAAGGAATGCCTTCCTCTTTGCCGCTTCCTCGCATCCACAGGCAGACATGTCCAGCCGAAGCCGTGCCCTCGAGCACTTTTCCCAGCGCTCTACCGAATACCACTCCACCGCTCTATCGCCATCGGCCTCTACTGCCCACCCGCCGAGCCTCGTGCCCAGAAGGCCCTTGTCCTTAGCCCACCTCTTGGTACACGTCACCACCGGTGCTCGCAAGGCATCCTTGAAGGCAGTCGGCCTTAATCGACTCCGAAAAAGACGGCTCAGACGTTCTGCTACCGTTCGCGAGCCCTCGTCCTTCGCCCTTTCGCATGCTGCATACTCTTCCGAGACAGCCACACCGATACTCATCAGTCTGGCCCCTTGATTAGAGTCTCGGACGCCCGAGTCACACACTCGTTTGGTCATGTCTCAATGTATATATGTAGGGGTGTGTCACAACTGCCCATGGGTAGGCCCACGGTGGTGACGGACTCCAGGACCCCGGAGCACCGAACATACGCAGCTCCAGCCATCCCTCCCCGCTGCCCTCCATCTCGCTGCTGGCATCGAGTGGAATCCGGACTGCCGTACCTTACATGAAGACGTCAGATGCCTCCGAGCCTAGAGCTACTGTCCAGTGTCAAGCCAGCCCGGACTCCTATGCACTCTCCGTGCGGGTTGCCAGGCTGAACCCCAAGCTGGGGGTGGATCTCCTTTCTTTGCACAGCCTTCCCTTGGGACCCCTTGGTGCCAAGGTCTCACCCTGGGCCTCTTGATTCGATGTTATGATATTGTGATATTGTGATATTGCCTGGGTTGTCTCTGGCCCCCTTAGCTGCATCGGAGACCAGGCTGGCCTGAAAGCTCGGGGATCAGGGGAATTGTATGATGTTGTGAATTCGCTCCGTCTATGTGGAACAGCTCGCCGCAGTTATGGCAGTTTCTCACATGCAATTTTACACTAGAAACGCATCTGCAACATCAGTCTCCCCGGGGATGCAACAGGAAAAGCGTGTTCAATTTGGAAGAGCTGTAAGTCCTTGACCTTATGGTAATTGCGTCCAGATTGGTGGCTCTGAGGTGCTACACTTCGACGTCCGAAACTGACCTGCCTCTGTAAAGGTGCTAGCAAGGCAGTGCTGGTGTGCCGGAGACAAGACTAGAGCAGATGGGTTTGCTTTATATTGGCAATCGATGCAAGCAAAATGATTCTAGGAACCGCTCTGGGATAGCCAGAAAGACGTCTCGACCCCCAAAGCAACGGGGTTGACCAGCATCGTGCGGCGGGGAAAAGGATCCTGCTTTTTGGGACAGTTTGACATCTCTCAAACGAACCGCATAACCAGAACGAGTGGATCGCGAAATTGGCACTCGGACAACACGGAGTCATCTCCCATTGGGATTTCCGTGACGGCCCACCGCTCCGTGCTTGGAGGACTCAGCGGAGTTCATGGCTTGAGAGGGAATCTGAAATCGTGAATTTCATGTTAAAATCATATACCATCAAGGCAACCGACCACGGAACTTTTAAGAGCTCGAAAAGATAGACCACCGCTCTGTCCTTGAATCAACAAAAACAATGGTGGCGTACTTTGTCTCTCCTGTGCGCTTCATCAATAGCACTTGATGCAGACCGTAATCGTCTCTCACTTCCCATCGCGATTCGAGGGTATTGTCATTCAGTTCCCGTGCTCCCATGGCCACCATAACTCGACTTTGCTCATCCTCACAGCGACAGCTCCTGTTGCATGTCCTCGCATGACTGGTATTCGACCTCGGCCGTCCACCATTTCCTCACTTCTGCTGGGCCTTCAACAACTTCAAGATCTCACTGTCGTGGTCCCCAATGACGGCCTTTCCGGAACTCCAATCCACGACGACGGGGCGTGTGAACAGGCTCCCGTCCTGCTTTACTTTCCTCAGAGCATCGCTCTCGCTGGCGGCGCCCTTGACCAGGTCCCCGGCGCGGCCAGAGCCGACGTACTCGAAGATGCTCTTCAGCTGATCGGGCGTGGGCGGCTGCTCGGTGATCTCGAGCTCGAAGGGATCCCGGGTCACCGTGGCGTTCTGGTGCGAGTGGTCCGAGGCCTGGTCTTCGGTCGCAGTCTGGGCCGCCTGCGCCGAGGCCTGTTTCAGGAGCGTCTGCGCCCGCACGCTCGCGGGGACGGAGGGCTTGTGGAACAGGGTGATGACATCGAGGGTCTTGGACTGGTATGGGCGATACGCGAGAAGCGTCAGGTTAGCTCAAAGGTTTTTTTCTTCTGTTTTTTCCTCTGCCCGTTTCCCCCCCATGTTTCGGAATCGAAGAAGTAGCAAGGTAAACTTGCAGAAAGAGAAAGGGTATGCTTGGGGAGCTGAGCTCCGGAGCCGAATCGATCGGGCGGAAAGGAAAGGTGCAGGAATACGAAATCTCGAGGGATCTCAACGTACCATGCGAAACATGTTGGATACAAAAGCCTTCATAGGCTTGGGCTGCCACATACGATGGAGTGCTGAGCTGGCTCTGAAGCTCAAGGAACGGATGGGGATAGAGGTAGGTCGGTATGGAGCTGAGTATCAGGGAAGTTGCAGAAGGAGGAACAGGCGCCTCTTTTGATAAGTTCGACAGCTTCGCTCGCTCTGGATTCGGCTGCAATGGGTGGAACACTTTGAACGACGATCATCAAAGGTCCGGAAAGCTGCGCTGTTCAGGTTCGCACGAGAGGGTGCGTAGGGTGCGTAGGGGGCGGTAGGGGACGCAGTAATTGGAGAAGCGAAAACTACGACGTCATCCCCTTCCCAGGGAACACGTGATGGCTGTCCACAGTATCCATCTGGCCATACCAGGCATGTACCTAGGCTCGCTAGGTAGGTACTACTCGGTACAGACAACTAAACGATCTTCCTGAGCTTTTCCAGCAAGCTTACATAGGTCGCTCGTCCTCTTCCTTCCTCGGTTTCTTTTACCCTGCCTTGTCGTGTTTCGAAGCTCCCTGTTGGGCTCTACGCAGCTCAGGTCCTGCACGCCACGGATGACGCCCTGGGGGAAAAATGCACTGTTTTCCGAAGCGAGGCAGGACCGCCTAGCACCCTCCATCCTGCGGTCATCACGCCCGGTGCAAACATAGAACGGATTGACATTTTGATGAGATACAGAGTCCTCAGGGATGTTGTTTTAGGCGGCGGCGGCGGTCTCATAGAGTCAGTCGAATTCTCCTCGCAGCGCGTGTCAGAGAGAGATTCTCGGAAATCATATCCGTGACACTTAGTCCAACTAGCCGAGAGAAGCGACAACCACAAGCAGATTTATTGCTTGATGCGTATGGAGGCCAAACGACCACGAAAAGGCGGAGGTCAAGGAGCATATATGGGAGGTACCTAGGGAATGTAAAAAGATCTATGTAGGCTGCTGAGGGCAAGCTCAAGCACCCTCGCCGTCAATGCTATTGCCTGACCTTTTCTGGAACGCTGCCTTGTTGGACGATTGTTGAAGTGATCCGGGGAGAATTAGTCCATGGTCAGGATGAAAAGTTCACATACGTGGTTCCGAAACGTATCGTGGCATTACGGGCAAGCTGGGAATTGCGACGACTTTGTATGTATTAGCGTAGCGGAATACAGGCTGGGAGAGGGGGAGAAAAAGAAACTTGTGCTCGGCATCGGCATCAGGACTTGGCAGCCTTATCCCACTGCCACTCCTCGACTTCGCCTGACTCTTACAAGTTTCGACCAATGTTCCTTCAAAGGCAGATGCGACCCTCACCCGACCAAGTGGATTGCCTACCTAGTAGGTACCCTAGAGGTCACGAACCACCACCACAATCACGTGTGGTCCAAGAAGGAATACGGATTCTTGCACCGCAAGACCGTCCTTTGTTATACGCTTGGGGAGCAAAAGCAAAATCCTGCTTCCCTTCGTTCCATCTCGCTGTGTGAAGACAAGTCTGGGATGGTACATACCTGTGCTCTTCCCCTGCGGAAGGAGAGTTCTCGTGCTGACAGCTTGGTTCTGATCAGTTAAGAAAAGAGAATCTGCCCAACTCTACAATATTGTGATGAAATATGGCCTCTACACCAGACGCCGTCATGTGTGCCTCAAGCAGCAACCACCAGCATCCATCGCGACTGGGTCTGCTGGACCTCCCAATAGAGGTCCGACATCAAATCTACGGGCACCTGTTCTGTCACAAACCCGTACCCATCGTATTGGGCTTTCGCTCCGACTTCTTCGCAAAGTGGGAAACGTGGTCACCGTGCGAGGACAGCGATGCGCCGCCCCACGAGCCGACCTTCCACACAGCCCTCTTTCGAGTGAACAAACCCATCTCCCGCGATGCGATCGAGTTTGCATACAGTTCCAGCTCCTTCTGCTTCGACAAGGACCTCCAGACGTTTTGCAACCTCAGTCCGATCGCGCTCGCCTCGATCAAGACGCTGTGGATCTTCCGCACCGCCTGGCTGAACAGTTCGGATGCCACCTCGTTCTGGTGCACTTTGGACCAACGTTGTCCGAGCCTCGACCTTCTCGTCGTCGAGGTTGCATCCCACATCTTGTTGCCGGCCATCCCCTACCTCAAGGACTTCATGGCCTCCATTCCTCCAGGCCAGGCCAAACCCAACTTGATCCTCGATCTCCACGTCTGGGACAGGCACTTCTCCTTCGACTTTCCAGACCGCGACTATCAGAGAGCTTTGCAGGACTTGCAAAGTAACCTTGTGGAGAGTGACCGGAAGGAGTTCTTGAATCCTTATATTTACGTGATGCGCATGCCGAGGCGTGCTAAAGAAATACATTTCGACTTGGATCTCGGGCCTGGGGAATTTAGAGCTCTGGTAGAGGTTCTGAGACAACCCACAGCTCTCTGCTTTGTCGAGGCCGACCAACCGTCCTCAAACAGTGGCGGTCACGTAACAGGTCGTGGAAAACACCTCTGTTTTACTTGGAAAGAAAGCGGTGAATAACTATGAGGAGTCGCCCTGTCTCTCGTGAAATTCTCTCGACTCGAACATTTCTCGTTCAGCGGAAAGCGGGAAAAGAAGCCGTGCACCTCGGTTCCTGGGCCTCAGCGTCAGGAGAAACGTGCCTCATTCATCCCAGCAGCACAGGCCACAGGGTCGAAAACACCACTTACACCGGTCGACGGCGTGGTCGATACATGAAGGTCTCTGAATTCCGCATGGCACTCTTTGTAAACGTTCATGACTGGCCAGTCGCACCGTACATAGCCTTGGACGTGTGTGGCTTCGACGGTCAAGCACTCCCGAGTGCAATATGCTTTGGGAGAATACGACTAGTGTCCTCTGGACAATGCAGGCCGGTTGAGATAACAGTGACTAAGGATTCCAATGTTGGTGGTGTAGCTCACACTTTGCCAACGGCCTTCGAAAAGAAGGCTCTCGTCAATTGAGGCGGCCCGTTGGTCTGTTCAGAAACTTCGCACCTGATCAACCGTCAAGTCCTCACTCGTGCAACATCGCCACCCGCTCGCCAGGGCAGAAAGTCAAGAGATTGAAGGACACTCAATATGTGAAGATGTGGATATCAGCGTCTCTGCCGCTCCTTCACCGACCCAAGCCTAGACTTCGGTAAGGCTGAGATGCGGCAAAGGTCGGAGCCAACTCTGGTCGATGCCGTGGCGCTCGGATGCCAGGATTTCTCGCCTCCTTGTCGGTTCTTTTCTCGCGGGTAAGCCGGGGTCGGGGAATTGGCTTGAGTCAAATAGGGGCGTCGGTGGGAAGCCCACCAGCCCTCAGGCCTTCAGTACTTGGTAGTTGAGGTTAGCCTCAGAAGCCACCAGGAACATAAGGTTTGTGGTAGAGACGTGACGTGACGATCGCGACATTTGTTTACGTCCGATCTCCTGACCTCATGCTTCGAAGAGGAGGCATTAAGCCGCTCCCAGCCGCGGATTCCAGCAACCATTCAGCGACCCTCCAGGTGGGAGGTGAAAAGGGGCTAGTCGACTATGCGTACATAGTCGAAATGGAACTGCCAGCTCGACCCATGGGTGTGGAATCTGCAAACAGTGTTTAAATGCATCGCATTGATCAGTCCCGGGGGATCGCAGAAACAAAGCCCGATACGTCAGAACCAGGAGTCGGGTACTTTGACAATGCCATGTGCAACATCTGCAGCTCTTGTCGGAAAACGGATCCACTTTCCTCCTATCCGCGACAAAGTTGCTGTTCGTGAGGCCGCATGCAGATTCCCGAAACATGTAGATGATGGACATTGGTTTTTGAGTTCTGGCAGAAGACGCCGAGATTGCAAGACTCCAGTGATAGTCGCCTCAGCCCTGAATGCCCCAGGCCCATCGAGGCAAAAGGGGTTGACGAATGCTTAGGCTCCACTCACAGATCTATTGATTTCAAGGGCCAGAGAGCACGTAAAGAACAAGGACCGGCAAGCAGCACGCAATGCGGCCAGCGGATTGTCAAGTCCGTAAATGCATGAAAATAATGGTGTTCTGTACGTAGCATATGCGGCTTAAGCGATGGGTTGGCGGCAAGCGACCGTAGGTCGGAGGACACAATTTCCGACCTACTGCTTGATCCGGGTTCTAGACTTTGGGACAAGTCGGCAGGGAGGCTGAAAAGCTGCAACATCCAGATGGCCTGGGATCTGTTTGACTTCGAAACGTCAGTGAGGCTGCATAGGGACGGAAAATTATACCATTGTATCAGGGAGTTTCCTTCGGGAAATGCCAGGATGGTAAACCAATAGCGCACTATCAGCCCAATGAGCCTGCTGGAGCGGAGCAGCCCCAGAAACCCCGGCAAGCGGGTGTCAGCAACGAGGTCGAAGACGCGATCTGCAGGGGCATCTTTGGGAGTCTTGCAAGCAGTTTAGCGGTTCGCGTAGGGAGGACCGCCATTGGCCATCCCCTAAAGCTGCTGCTCGTCGAGTGCCCACAGGCCCCCTTCAGAAACCCCGAGCACATTAGTTTGCCTCGTGACAAGCCAGGCTCTCCGAAATTGCTGCTGGACTTTAGGGGATGAGGTTTGACGTAAAGCGCTTACTGAGCTCACGTCCAATAGCGAATCGCATGGAAAGCTCGGCCACGCGACTGAGCGAGGAACCCCAAATTGGAAGACTGAGTATCGTCTATCTTCTTGATCAGCGTAGATGGGGGAGAAGTGTAATAGTGGGCGACAGCAAGACTGATGAACAGGGGACGATCTGTATCGGGCAGCCACTGAGATAAGACGGATGATCTCCATGCCCAGCTTCGCCATGCAAAACGGCGGGCGTCCTCTTGTAGAGGCCGGCATCAAAGTTCCATTGGAAGGTTTGGAGAGCCCGTTTTGCGTCGTCGCATGAAAGTGTCAGAAGCGTGGCAGCCTCACCGCGCTGGACAGATCGATCTGTTGAAGGCCAAAAGGGCAGGTTGGCGCCGCCTAGTTGATGGTGGCTGTTTTTACAGCACAGTTATGGCTGGCTGAACTTCCAGGATAAGCAGAATAGTCTCAATGCGGGTGGAGCGTAGCTGGATTGGATTCAGAATGCATGTGAGGGACAGGCAAAACGCCCAGCAAGCGTGCTCGACGCTCAGCCCCGATCAACTCACGACGCTTTAGGAGCATCGAAAAAGAAGGTGGCAGCCACATGGCACTGGAAATTGCTTGATCCGCTCCCAGAGTTCAGGTCGCTTAGAACTGAACCGCCGAATAGGAGACAGCACTAATGCATGCGCCGAGGACTAGCCCGGGGCTAAAGATCGTATTACTGCTGGTTGGTCGGCCAAAGACCATTGTGGTGGTGGGGTTTAGCGGTCACTGCCAGTGATGGATGAAGGGAGCTTTAACCCCAAACGTCTGTGCGCATAATGACCGACAATTGCCTGCAAATTTTGCCTCACAGAGTGTAGGGCCCGAGACTGTTTGCAACCCGTCCATGGGACATGTCCCAAGCAGGCCCTGACTTGCCTACCAGCCTCATATCTAGGTGGCGATTGTGCACCGTGACCTGTTTGAATTGGGGCCCTAGGGAGATGATATCGGGTCAAGGTGACAGCTTCCGCACAAAGCTGTAGTGGTGGGGGTGAACTTCAGGTCAAAACCTCGGATCAGAACATGAGAACTTGACAGAAGCCCTTTCGAATCAATCCAGGTCGGAAAAGATCCGGCATGGTGTTGGTTGAATCTACCCTTCAGCAAAGCTCGGCAAAAGTGGCTCGTGGAGCGTGGTCGCAAGGAAACCCCCCTGAAACATCCTTTGACCAACGGCGAGGCCGTGAAGGTTGGTAAGGTGATGTCCTTTGCAGCGAACAAACAGTGCCAGAGGTTTATTCCTTTTTCCCGTCTTGTACTTCTCTAAGCCGGACTGGGTTAGGTGGATGATGCACTGGGGAGGGTAAGAGATCGGTAAAGAGGATAGCTCTGGTTTTGTCGCCTAGCTAGTGAGCCTGATGAAGAGAGGAAGGGGGGCACTGAGCACACTAGATACAAGTGCGAGTCGATGGGGTTGCCGCGGGCAAAAGAACCATAGGTACGGGATATTGGACGAGAAGGTTGCCTGAGATGGAGCCTGTCCAGGTAAATTGTAGCTAGCACGGTCAAGATAAAGACAAAAAACACACAGACCATGGCGGGCCAAATGACCAGGGCTAGGATTCATGTCGGGAAGGGATTTTCCTTGGAACAAGATGATAAAAATAATGGGGGGGCAAAGAACCAATTTTGACGCAGGGTGGACACACCGAACACGAGTCAATATTACAGAGTTCCAGGGGCGGTAACGGGAGAGTCAAAGGTTCATGGAAATGGAGGGAGAAGCACTGCCAAATAACCATGATAGGGAATTTCAAAGATACCGTAGGAACGATTGACGGTTTGGTACGCGGTTTGGTGCACACACTTGCAAGCAGTGGTTAGTCGAAGGAGTGGTAAACCGAGTTGATGACCATGGTGACTGGTTAGAATTGATTAGGCAGGTGTAACATGTTGGAACCTGGACACATGGATACCGGGGATGATTATTGCCGTGGCCAGCCGTCATGTGCTCTGGGTGATACAATACTAGCTGGGCTCGCTGGGCTCGCTGGGCTCGCTGGGTGCTAGCAGGACCTGGGGGTAAGCAGCTCAACTGAATCTGGGTGCCTGATAGGTTACCAAAGGAGAGCACAGACCTGTAAGTACCATGTATGGATTAAGTCTAGGTAGGGGCCCTCTCCAAAGGTTAGAGGAGGAGAGCCTACTAGGTATCTCGCTACCCGAAAATCTGCCCCCAAGATCCCTCCAGATATACCTAACCTACCTACCGGTAATACTACATGTAGTTGACCTGGGCTTCCCTGGAGGACAAGCCGTGCTGGGGAGCATCACCGCCTGTACCTAGTAGTATCGACACTGTATCTCAGTGAAACAACAGTTGTGCTCAGCATCTCAGGGCTCTAAAGCAACTCCCTGTACTCACTCAGGCTACCTGCCTAGGTAGGTTTTATTGAAGCACCCCTCCTCGAAGCGCCTGCACAGCGCAAAGCACACTGCCAACAAACCCACCCCTCCAACTTCCCAAACTTCCCCCCCTTCTTCCCTTCTACTGGTACTTGTCAGGACTTTCTCCACCAACACCACGCAGAGAGAACTCATCACACCTAACCATGCCTCTGGTGCTAATCTGGTTCCAGCATAGCGGTGCCTCAGGATCCAATTTCTTGCGATCCCGTTTGGGAATCAAACTCTGGCTGCAGCGCTCGGTCCAGACTGTTGTGTGCTCTTTTCTCCTCCTCGTCAACCATCACCATCGGAAACTGAGACCCCCAGCCGGCGGGACCCATGTCAAGACCCATCCCATCGTAGGGGGGAGAGAGGACTCCTAAAACACGTTCCTTCGTTCAGAGCGTAGTTCATCCATCTTGCTCGCTTCCCTTGCCCCTGTCTCCCTGCCTGGTGCTCGACTCTTAGCCTCTCCGTGTCCCGCCCACCATCATCCCTGACCAAAACTCTCCTCTCAGGTGTCTCCTCTCTGCCTGCATGACCAGCTACTGACCTTTGACCAGATGGCCAGCTCCACACCTTTGTTCACGCCAGCGTGCCCCGACAATCAGCAATCAGGTCTCTGACTCTCTGTCCGTCCTTGCTCACCTTCAAGCCTTATCCTATTCGGCGTTAAAGGCCCAAAAAACACGCCCCCCCACCCCGTCCAAAGTCTGCAGCCCGCACAGCAGCGCCCATCGCGACCATACCCATCATATCCTAGCACCTCCTGTCTCCGCTGTCCGTTTTGGACCAGCTCTCTTCTTTTTAGGCGACGAGGGCGACAGGCCCGTCCAGCCAGCCGGCCGCCAGCTGCCCGCTAAGAGCGCCATGTGTTGCCCCGACCAAAAGGATCGCGACCTCGAGTATTCTTCAATCTTTGAAATCGTCCCCGAACTGCCCTCTTCATAGCCTGATTTCAAAATCCTCCTCTCATCCTCTTCTTGTCTGCGTGTGCAGGATCCTACCTCCACGCCTGCCGTCATCGTCACCTCGTCTCGATTCTGAGGGTTTGACTGAGGCCGCACTATTCTTCATCCCCCATATTTGCCTGCAGGATCCAGCAGGAGAACTGTCACTATCGGCCTGGGTTGAGTCCGTGCAGATCTTTTTCCTCGATTATCCCCAAAAGAAGGCCCATTGACCATAGAAAAGCCCCTCGACCACTGAGAAAGCCGGACAAGTCAGCCCAACCGCGTTCCCGGTCCACGAAACTGATCTTCATTCACGAGTACTCCACCATCAAAGTTGCCGGTCTGCATCGCGTACAGGCGCTGTTGAAATATATCACATAAAGCTTGGGTTGTCCTCGAGAACAACAACTTGTATCAAAATCGTCTATCCGACCACCACGATAATCGAAGGTACATCCGTTTTGACGACTCGTTCAAAAGACGAAACTCGTTCACGAACAACCGTCTGATCTGCTTGTACCTCCTTTTCTGCCCTCTGCCGCCGACATCGCCGATAACAAAAGAAGAACGAGAGCCATTGATTTCTCGCTAGATCGAAATCCCCCGGCGTGTTAATTCTCACCTCTCTTTCTCAGAGACAGCGGATCCCGCAATAAAACCTCCCCCATCAGTCACTCTGGCGTCCGTCGCAATCCCCCTTCCAATGGGGACAACCCTGGATGGCCTTACCACACCTTCCAGCTTGAGCCAGCGCAGGCAAGCCGCCTTTAGTCTCGAGCTCCCACCTCCTACCACTCTTCAGTTCAACCCGGTGGTATCAAGTCAGAAGTTCCCCCCTCTCTCGGGCATCAATACGTCCCAGGCTGTACCGCCTATCAACGTAGGACAACTTCTGACCCCTCCGTCTAATTCGGCCTCTGAGAGCAGCGCTGCCTCATCAGCTATTCCCACAGGAACCACTCCAAACAGCGCAGCAGGTCCAGTGTTGCCCTATACGCCCACGCTATTCGGAGCAGGTACCACGCCGACCGGGTTCCACACCGGCTTCACACCCCCTTCCTGGCAGAATGGATCGCTTGTTGCCGCCCGTTCTGTTTTTTCGCCAATGCCAGGAGCCTCATTGAGGAATAGCACCAACTCTCCTACAGCTGGAGAGGCTTCCGCATTACCGCCTCCGCCGTATGACCTCCATTCGGTCCAATCGTACGGTGCCCCTATGCAGCTCTCTTCGCCTGCAAGTGCTACCCATCCTACGGCTCAGCAGACCATCATATCACCGCTGCCAAATGGTGTGAGGCCACCCAGCCAGCAGTCTCCCGTGACACCGGGTGACGGGGTCAGTCGAGCTGCATCGAATCCCGCTCTGTATGCAACCATGACAACTACGGCTCAACACCCTGGGTATCATTATGCATCCGCGACTCCAGTATCACAGAGCCCTCATCCCCATTCCCTTTCTGCTCCTCGAGTCTCGCCACCGCTCCATCAAGGACCTCAACACCAGGCTCCTTTCATGCGCCCTCCCCCGCCCTCGTATTCGTTGCCCGCCATGCCTGGCCCGATCATGTCCAATGTCCATAGTCCAGGCGCTCAAATGGCAATGGTCGGCAACATGCAGGCTAATATGCTGCCCATGGCCTTCAACAGTGGTTATGCCGCAAATCCTCAGACGATGTATGGCCAGCAACGGAGCAATACTCCTCAACAACAACCGGTACACGATCGTCCCTTCAAGTGCGATCAATGCCCGCAAAGTTTCAATCGCAACCATGATTTGAAGAGACACAAGAGGATCCACCTTGCTGTAAAGCCCTTTCCTTGCAGTCACTGTGACAAAAGCTTTTCTCGCAAAGACGCGCTCAAAGTAAGTACTGGTGACCGATTGTGATTTACAACCAAACTAACTTGGGGTCACAGCGGCATATCCTGGTCAAAGGCTGCGGCACTGGCAAGCCGCCTGATTCTTCGGCTAGAGAGGACGGTGTCAAATCTGAGTCCGGAAGCGATGGCATTAACGAAAGCCCAGCAGCTGCGCCCGCAGCTTAATCAAAGCGTCACCTCTCGCTTCACTGCTGGCTGCAAATAATTTCTTTCACTGAGCGACTGTACAATATCGAATCTTGGGTGGCTGTTGTCTTGTGTGGTTTTTCTAATTCAATGTTTTTGGGTTATGACTTGATGGATGGCCAGAACGTCTGCAACAGGCGGCATGAGATGGATGGACTTTGACGGATTCTATTACTAGGAATGGGCATTCCTGATAAACCATTTTGTTCATTATACCCAGCGGAATGGCATGACAGGACAAGGACTATATTGGTAACTTATTTTCAGGCAGGGCGTGTGGTTGTGAGCATGACAGACTCAGCCGAGCACCAGAGGATACTGGAAAAATTTCTGACGGAATCAATAAAACCTTTAATGAATACATTTTGGTGGGTGTTCATATTGATGATGCCTGGGGCGTTGGGAATGCGGCGAGCCCACAGAGGCCCTACTGACTGGCATGGCATGGCATGGCGTTGGCGCCTGAAGCACTGACCCGCTGGTTGACCCGTGCTGTCTACTGGTGCCATGTATTGCGTGTACTGTATGATAAATTCCGTGGAACGCATGATGTAGCCACAGTCAAGTTTGGTGACTGGGAAGATCCCTGCAAACCACGCGAGTGTGGCTTGACTCGGGCTTTCGAAATGGCGCCAGCCTCGCTTGCGGGAGAGGCGCCGCCAACACCAACGCCCTCACGCCTCACGCCCTCACGCCCTCACGCCCTCGACGCCCCTTTTCTCAGCCTTCCGCCGACTGCGGGGAAGCAGAAATCACGTGAAAGTCCGAGTAGCCCCACCACGGCACTCTCGGGCAGGTAGCGAAACAAGCGAGCGAGAGAGCGAGCGAGCGAGCCAGTCACCTGCGTACCTCGTACTTGTAAGTGGATTCTCCCTCTCCTACTCTCGCTCCCATCAGTGCCTCGCGCAAGCATGCAGCCAAACATTCCTTGTTCAACCTGCTCAATTCGAAGGCCTTTCCAGTCCAAGCTCCTCGATAGCCTAGACACAGAAGCAATGCACCACAACCTGGCCGGGACCAGGAGCCGTCCAACGACGTGGTCAGCCAAACCAGACTTCTAGACAGGTGCAGCCATTTGTGTAATCCTCGGCTCCTCATCTCACCCGGTGCCAGTCACCCATGAAACGTTACACGATCTCTACGGTTGAGTCGTTGACAGACACGACGAAGGCATCCTAGCCCCTCAAAAGAGCTATGGACCGAGAGAGGCGAAGCGAGGAAAAGGAAAGAAACCTCAATTTGGACACTTCTCACTTGCACACACACACACACACACACACACATACCTAAGTGCCTCTTCTCATTCTCTTCCGCGCTTACTCTGGCAGGGTTGTGCTATCGCAATCAAGGTGCGGTCAAGGCCAGCCACCATGGCGGTACCGACCAACAACAGCCAGTTTGACTCAAGACGGAATCCAATGTCCAGTGCACGCTCATTCCAGCCCTCCGGATGCAGCTACGTGCAGGCCTGTGCTTGTGCCATTTATTACTGCAGCAAAAAGTTTACCTTGCAGCAGTTAAGCGAATGGCTAGTGGCTGCTCAAATCAGCTTCCCGTTTACTCCCTCTTTGCTCCCCTCCTCTCAGCCACGACTCTGCCTCTCACGTCAAACAAACTCACGGCGGTCATGTCTCGCAAACCCAACCCCGGCCCTGGAAACCCACGTTTTGCCTGAAGGCCGCTTATGTGGTACATACCAGGTATGTATTCAACTGACAAGCCAGTCCATGCGTTCCCCGATCGATCGGCGCTACCTCGTACCACTCTGAAGCTCCACTTATCGATCTCGCAGATCGACTATTCCGACCTCAGATCGAACCTTGTTTCCAACCCATCCCCCTCTCGCGTCCCGCCATGATGCTTGCTCTGCTGCCTTTGTCCTGCTTCAGCCACAAATCGGCCCTTCCACCAATCCATCCGTCCACGTACATTTTGACACATTGCCAGCGCCCTGCGGGCCATGTCCATCCTTCCATTCATCCTCAAGGGTTCTCAAGGTTCAAGCTTGGCTCCCAGATGCCACCCTTTTCTGGCTCCGCTTTCTCAAGTCCTTTCCCAATGATTTCATGATAACTTATCCTTGACCGCATCGACGCCCGGCAGAATTAGTCTCGTGAGGCATGTTCCTCCTGCACCATTAGTCCCTTGCCGCTCAATCCGCGTACAGCGTACGGATCTAGGGCCTCTCTGCCTCTATTACACCCTGGTCGATCACATCGACCATCTGAGAAGGTCACTGCTTTGCCATCTGTCGCCAGCTGATTAGCTACGGTCGTTGACTCGTCACCGAGCGCCACTGCTGTCAGTCTCTGGTTTGTTGGCGAGTCTTGCGCTTTCCGTTGACACCGGCACCAAGTCTACTTAGTCAGGCCGCCCTGTTCTCTTCAGACACTTTCATAAATCAACTGCCCAGCCTCCAAGAGAAGCTTTTTCGATCACGAGGCTCCTACGACTTCTTTCCGCAAGGTTGGATAGCTTTTCTAAGTTTTGAGGTTGCAAGGCCATCATTCTAGTCTCATTCAGAGCACAGTCCGGTATTCGCCCAAGGGCAGGGCTCTCTTATAAGCCAAAATAAGGTCCTCGGCATTGCACCTGGCCCAATGACCGCCCATCGTGTGCTGATATACCTGCTACGACGAGACCTCCGACTTCCAGATAATCCCGTCTTCCAAGAGGTCAATAAGCTCAGCCAGCAGGCGGAAAAACCATTCACTCACCTTCTCCCCGTCTATGTTTTCGCAGCCCAGCAGGTCGAGGTCTCTGGATTCCTCTCTGAACCTGGATCCAAGTCACCATTCCCCGAGGCGCGTTCAGAGGTGGGAAAGTTCTGGAGATGTGGACCTCATAGAGCCAAATTTCTCACCGAGTCGATTTGGGATCTCAAATCTCAGCTTGAGGGTTTAGGTAGTGGTCTCTTGGTCCGTGTCGGCCTTGTGGGCCGGGTCGTCGAAGACATTCTGGATCAGTTCCGACAAGCTGAGGAAGTGTCTGTGTCGGCGATATGGATGACTGAGGAGGAAGGGGTGGAGGAGAAACGAGAGGAGCGGGACGCCCGCAAAGCCGCTGAGAAGTTCGGGACAAGTTTCAGATTATGGCTGGACGAGAAATACTTCATCGATGAGTATGCATGGACGATAAGTGGAATGTTGAGCCGGACTGACTCGTCATAGCCGAGATTTACCGTTCGATAAACCATCTGATCTTCCAGATGTCTTCACGAGCTACCGCAAGTCGGTCGAGCCGTTAAGAGATGCGCCACGAAAACCCCTCCCTCCGCCATCATCGCTGCCGCCGCTGCCAACCTTCTTGCCGTTACAAACCCGCCCTTTCACGATACCTGACACGTTTGAGAAGTTGAAATCGGCGCTGATGAAACCGCTCATGGCCAGCCCGCCTCTCTCCAAGCCTCCTCTTTCCCCTTCCTCAGGAGTTGCTTCTGCTTATCCTTTCCATGGGGGCACTGCGGAAGGACTGAAACGCATAGAGGGACTCATTCGATCGGGCGCCATGACTAGATATAAAGATACCCGCAACGGCTTGTTAGGAACAGACTTCTCCACCAAACTTTCCGCTTGGCTAGCGCTCGGTTGCATCACCGCCCGTCAAATACATTTCCACTTGCTCGAGTTCGAGGAAGGTCGGGATGACCGATTCCGGGACACAAAAGGATACGGGAAAGGTGAGAATCCAGGCACTGCTGCTGTGCGCTTTGAGCTTTTATGGCGAGACTATATGAGGCTCTCTACACGAAAATTTGGTTATCGGTTGTTTCGGCTCGAGGGGTTTCGGAACGATCACTCTTATCCGTGGAAGACACCTGGTAGCAAAGGTAGCGGCCCGGAAGTTGCAGAAATGCTGGACAGATTTTTGCGCGGGACAACCGGGACTTCGTTGATCGATGCCAGTCAACGGGAACTCTACCACACAGGCTACACAAGCAACCGAGCCCGACAAAACGTGGCAAGCTTCCTAGCTAAGCACCTGGGGATCAACTGGAAGCTGGGGGCCGAGTGGTATGAATGCATGCTGACCGACTACGACGTCAGCTCCAACTGGGGCAACTGGCAATACGTGGCTGGAGTGGGGAATGACCCTCGAGGTGAAGCCAGAGTGTTCAACCCGATCAAACAAGGCTGCGACTACGATCCCCAAGGTGAGTATTGCAAGGCTTGGGTGGAAGAACTACGTGGTCTGGAGGACGCGCAGGAAATATTCCAGCCATGGAAAGTGAGCTCGGCAAGGAGAGCCGCATTAGGGCTCGATGGGCTCGACACGGTGGCGCGCCCACTCAAGAAGATTGAATTCAAGGTGGGCGGCAAAGGCAGAAGCAGTGGCAGTGGTGGTGGCCGGTATGGAGGGAAAAGTCGAGGAAGAGCCACGACTAATGGCGGAGGAGAGAAAGCGGGAGGGCGAGGCGGCGGCAGCTTCGGGGCGAGAGGAGGGTATCGTGGCCGAGGGAAGCATGATACAGGTCGCGAGCAAGGTCGTCAGGGCCGAGAATAGTGGGCGAGGCTGCAAAGGAGGGTAGCTGTCGCATCTGGCAGATTTTGCTTTTTGGGAATTCCTCGAACACATGTGGAATGGAGAGAGGATGATTGCCATTGGGTGCAAGGGTATTGGGATGGATGGCTCTGCTGGGCGGGTATCGATCGGTTTTTATGTCTGTCCACACGTCAGGACGCTGTCTATCGGGTAGGAAAGAAGGTCAGGGGTGCTGCAGCCTGTTGTCGCCGGCGTCACCATCATTCATCATGATCCAATGCGTGCTGATGAATACCTACCTAGGTAGGTACCATAGGTACGGAGTAGGGTTGTCGATGTCTCTGTCGGGAGGATGGGATAACTAATTGGACCGTCGGGGGCTTGAACCAGTGGGCTGTAGTAGCACAGTAGTAGTGCATGTGGACTGGCTGACTTCTGCGGACACCAAGCGAGCAAAGGGATGGAATGTCGTGTACCGAGTACTCGGTAGAGTCTACACAATTCCACTTGTGTTTGTTATTCACCACGGCTAGAGTGTACGAATCCCAGGCTTCCAGACTCCCAGGGGCTGCCAGGCTGGTTCTGGTTATGATTGTTGTGTTGTCGGCCATCGGGTTCGCCGTCTGACCCTTGATCTTGATCTTGATCCTGTCCCCTCTCCCCTCTCCCTCTCCCGCGTGGAATTCCCGACCATGACAAGACGTTGCTTCTTGTGTCGCTCTCAAGTTGCTGAGTACCTACCTTAGTAGGTACCTAGGTAATTAGGTATCATCATTCTCCCTCCCACTTTGCTCTCACCTCATTCCCCTCTTTGCAAAAAGTCAAAATATCCACCCGGTGCAAGCATTTGTGCCTCGGCATCTTCCTTGGTCGCCCTGGGCTCTTCTTGGTTACCCCTTGAGCGTCTCTTACAGGCAGCCATTCATCGTATTTCCTGTATTCCACTCGTATCTTGCTTTTAACTCTTTTCTGGTCCTTCCTCCGTCAGGGACCTATGGAGATCGAAAAGACAATGCTTATCCCTCTCGGGGCTGAGGCCGTTCCGAGTCACACTGCAACATCAAAATCCTGCAGCCTAGACGCCTTAACTCGGTGAGCTCCCTTGACTTCGCTAAAGGTCCGGTTTTGGGTTTTGCAGCTTGGATCAGCAGGATCAGCCCTTGATGCACTTTTGCTAACTGGACCACCGTTCGCATCATGTCCCTCGACACATATGAACGCGTGGTTGGCTCGTGGAATCTTTGTGGTGATACATAACCAAGCTCCCCCATCATCCTTCACCACCGTCTGTCACTCAAATTGTATCATTGCACACTGCTAACACAGCGGCTGTAGCTGAGACAAGCCTACCAAGCGACATTCTCTCGCCTGGGTGTCGCCCTCGCTTGCCCTGCTTACATCAATCGGTCGCATCCGTCACTCACCCAACTGGCACCCAACTGGATCCCTTGCCTTCGCATCGCTTTGACACAGGCCACCCGTTTGCGGGACTGACTTATAGCTATCCACCAAAAGCTGAATCAAATCCATCCCAACCAGCTTGACAATCTTGATTCCATTCTTGCGGCATCCTCATCATCCTGCATCAAACCATGGCAGCCATGTCCATGCCTCATCTTTCCATCCCCGTCCTTCTCGTCGCTCTTGTCGTGACCTTTATCATTCACCGGATCTATTATGAATTGACCACCGGTGCTCGGAGGCGCCGAATGGTACGGGACAATGGGTGCGAGGACGTTGTGTGGTACCCACACAAGGGCATCATGGGCAAGCTCTACGGTTTGGACGTGATTAAGCAGATGGTCCAATCCGGCAAGGAAGGTCGAATGCATGAGGCGACTCGCCTCAGAAACTTCAGCAATGGCAGAAACACCCTCAAATTGAAGTTGGCCAAAAACACGAGTACGTATCCCCTCTCCCCATGCCTTGCAGGCCGGACAGCGGACTCATTTGGACAATAGTCATCTCCACCATTGAACCCGAGATCATCAAGACCATCCTGTCCACCAAGTTTCAGGACTTCTCCCTGGGCACGAGACGGAGACAAGTCTTCCTCCCCATCTTTGGCCATGGCATCTTCGCCAACGACGGGGCCGCCTGGGAGAGATCTCGTTCCATGGTTCGACCCAACTTCACCCGTCAGCAGGTGGCCGACCTCGAGATGTTTGAAGCGCACGTCTCCCATCTCATTGATTCCGTGCCTCGAGATGGCTCTACTGTCGATCTGCAAGATTTGTTTTTCGGCTTGACCATGGATTCTGCGACCGAGTTCTTATTTGGCCGATCGACAAACACGCTAGCACCAGGTCTGGAGACTAAGTCCGCTAGCGAGTTTGTCAAGGCTTTTGTCTATGTGACTGAAGGTGCGTACGATGGCTAGTCCTGGGGGTGAGACTGGACTAATGTATGACTGTTTTGCAGCCTGCGGCAAGAGTTTCCGCTCGGGAGGTCTCCTTGACTATATCCCCGATCCAGAATATAAGAAGAGCGTGAAGATCGTACACGGCTTTGCCGACGAAATCATTCAGGAAGCCATCGAGGAGCTGAAGACCGGGAAGCAGGATCCCAACAAGCGCTACGTCTTCCTTCACGCCTTGCTCAACCAGACCCAGGATCCCTACGCCCTCCGGTCGGAATTGCTTAATATCCTCCTCGCAGGCCGCGATACCACGGCAGGCTTATTGGCAAATACTTGGCACGTACTGTCGAAGCGACCGGATGTTTGGGCCAAGTTGAAGGCTGAGGTGGATGAGCTCGGCGGCGAGAAGCCCGACTACACCACGATCAAGGAGATGAAGTATCTGAAATGGACACTGAACGAGTCACTCCGGCTGATGCCAGTCGTGCCCGGCAACAGTCGTGAGGCCATCCGCGACACAATCCTGCCTCTTGGTGGAGGAGTGGATGGCAAGGCGCCTGTGCTGGTGCGGAAGGGGCAAGTGGTGGCATATTCACCGTGGTCCAGTAAGTCTTTTGCGTTGAGGCATTGACGCACCTGCGACAATACTAACCCTTGAGCCAGTGCACCGACGTATGGATTTCTATGGACCCGACGCGCTAGAGTTCAAGCCAGAGCGGTGGGAGACCCTCCGACCGGGCTGGGAGTACTTGCCGTTCAATGGAGGGCCTCGCATCTGTGTGGGCCAGCAGTACGCCCTACTTGAGGCATCCTATGCAACCATCAGATTGATTCAGACCTTCCCGAGGATCGAGAGCCGAGACGACGGGGAGTGGCGCGAGTGGCAGACGGTGACGCTGGCCAGCCGTAACGGTACCAAGGTCGCTCTTTTCGAGAAGTAAGGAGTCTGGAAGGAAAAAGAGCAGGCGGCTAACCGGAGGTACATGATGACTTGAACGACTACCGGTGATGTACTTTAACCAGGAAATTCCACACTCTGCTCCAACCATGCTGATGGCGTTTATCGATTTTCTTGGGTCGTCGGACACGGGGCAAGCAGCAGCAGGAACCCAGGAATCGAGGCAGTTTTAGCGGAATGTTGTATAGCTAGCTCGAGGTTCAAATCCATCCACTTCAATTGTATTCGTGGGTGAGTCTCTCCTAATACGTGGTCTCAAATGAAAAACGGTTCTCTCGACGTACTCGGGCCTATGCAAAACCACTAGCGAGCACAGATGCTCCGAGGAACCGAAGGATGCGATGGGCAAGGCAGAACGACCCAGTTCTGTCGAAGCAAGGACCGACTCTATGAATCGCAGTCTGCCTCACCTACAGAGTACCTTGTACGCTGCTCTACGCTACTCGTTTCGTCTCTGATCGACTTGACTGGCGGGTCCAATTGGTTGAACTGGTCGCAGGGGAATATTGGGTGGGTGGTATTCTCTCGGGGATGCCTATGAGGGTCGTGTACGGGTGGTGACACTGGTGAGCCTTGTGTTGCGGGGGTGCCGTGGAAGCGTCACCTCATGCGTCATGCACCCGCTTTGGCTTATACTCGGTCCTTAGCACAGTGCTAAGAGCGTGGTGGTGGGCCCCCAGGACCATGGCCTTGGGAAGGGATTTTGCGGGGTTCTAGGTACCTAGGTACGAGTAACGAAGCTGGGATAGGCATGGCACCAGCTGGCTTTTCACTACTACTACCCCCTTAGGTACGAGTTGAACGTTGACCAAGCCATAATGACCAGCCCATACGACTATCTCCCGGGCGCCAACTGAGTGTCTGGGGAAGCCTGGCTCACCTCGAGTGTCATAGCCCCAAAATAATTATCACCTGTGCCCATCATCACCCACCAACCTACCTAGGTAGGTACTCTTCTAGCACTTTTAGCACTCTTTTGCCCACTTTGTTACTGCTCACGGCTGGAGAAAAAAGAAGACCCCGTCGACTCGCCTGGCCGACTCTTTGCCGTCGCCCAGTCATCAGCTCCCAAGGCGGCAAGGCAGCCCACTGCTACTCCTCCAACTGGCCAAATTTCCCGTTCAATCACCAGCATTGATTCGCCGTCGCCTGCATCCCCATGTATCGTGACCCGACGATCTCATGCCCCAACATCAGCTCTAAAAGACCCCATGCATTACCACCCACTCAGTATGCGGCTTTTAGCGAATGCCCGAGTCCATGCCGTTGGGCCGTCCTGTTCTCATATGGCCCAGGGCGTGCCAGCTGAAGGCTCGAACAGTTGTCCTCCCTCTTCCACTGCTCACTCTCGCCGTCGCCCACAGTCGCTCTACGCATCACCTCAATCCTTTCTTGTCAATTCGCACGGTCACACCCGTCTCCTACCAGGCTGTCCGCCCCCGACTCGTCTCACCCCCTTCGATCGCCGTCACTATCCATCGTGAATCGTGCTTGCAACTCGGCCGACCAACATCTACCACGCCCAGTGTTGTACCAAGTGCATATCAGGCCAGTCAATCGGAGACCGCGTCGTACAGCGAACTGATTTGGCTCCTCAAAAGCTTCACCGCCGTCGTCAGAACCCTTCTTCCAAACCCTACCTTCCCCTCGTATATCTCCCGCGCATTTCAGCCTTACCTTCGATATCTCATGGCGGAGACATGACCGACTCACCCACTCTGACTCGATAGCTTCAATGGCTCCAACGTCGGTCCTGTCGCGGCGCAATGAGAGTGGCACCGTCGGTGCGGGAAAAGGCGACTGGCGAGCATTTGCCTCGGACGAGGACTTCATTTTGGAGGGCTGGTCTCAAGGATTTTTGGTCGGCGCGCTCGTCATCATGGCATGCATAACCATTGCGAATATGAGGAGGGGTGTTCTTCTGCACAAGTTGATTTTGGTCGAGGTAAGTTGGGCGGAGAAAGAAAAAGCATGTGCGAAGGATGCAAAGGCTGACACATCAACCCCCTGCAGCAACTTGCAGCACTCTCACATGGTAAGCATGTTTGAATCCGGTCCCAAGCGGAATTCAGGACTCTGTGGCAGACGGGTTAATTTCTCGTACAGGAACATTCTGCTTCATGGGATTCAAAGGATACGGTTGGTATCTGTCCTCGACCGCAACTCTCTTGTACATCTCCTGGATCGTCCACAATATTGTCGCCTGGATGAAAATCAGACCTTTCTTCATGGATTCCAGGAGCATGTTCAAGCCCCAGACCGGCAAATGGGTGCGGAGGGTATACCTGGGCACCTTGGCCCTCACGGTGCCTTTCATCTGTTGGCAGATCTCCAACAACTTTCGCTTCTTCAACAACATCAACGACTTTTATGTCCGAGTCCGTCCCTACGAGCCCCTCATGAGGGACCCGTGGTGGGTTTTTACCTGTCTGACCCTGTTTTATGTGATCAATTCCGTGTACGGGACCGGCGCCTTCGAGCTCATCAAGCGATCTCCTCGCTTTGGAATTCTACTGTGTGCCATCTGTCTCGCCCTCATCTTCACGGCGGTCGACATTGCTGCCAGCATTCACAATTTCACCGGCAGTACTGACGGGTGTGTATTCGTCCAATCTTGTCCGTGGTTTCTGGCTGACTCAAGGCTGTACAGCATCAACCCGTGGTGGAAACTGAGTCTAGTATTCAAGTGCCTCACCGATACAATCATGCTCGACGACTTCAAGACCGAACTGAAGCGTCTGGGCATCCGGCGCATGCGCAAGGAAGAATTGAGAAGGCACAGCTTTGCCCTTGTTGGCGATCCCAACGACTACAAGGAAGGAGATGATCAAATGGAATTCTCCGACGCCTTACATACGAATCCCCTCCAGTTCCAGACAACGCAAAACTTGGATGACAGTCCAAGAAGCAGCCCCATGGGACGCTTGCGACAAGATTCGATCACCAATTCACAAATGAACGAGAAGGAAGTCATTGGGAAATCGGGCAAAAAGATCTCCAAGCTCCCGAGCTTAAAGGGCTTCTCGCTTGCTTCTGGGCCTCGCAAGAAGGTTCGAATCCACGATCCTGAGGAGGAAGGGCATGGAGGAGATTCACCACGTGCGCCCGCGCCAGCTTCTGACCGTCTGGCGGACATGCGAAGAAGCCTGGGCGTGGTCGACTTTCATGGGCGATGAAAGGGCTCGTCGATGTTCGTTGCGGATACCATTAACGTCTTACGTGCTCAATGAACTTACGATGTCATGTCCTGTATCAACACTGAAATGTCCAGATTGAAGATCATTGTACATAAACTTCAACAGAAGGGAGCTGTCAAGACCTTCTCTCCATTTGCGCCCATCTACGAGCGTCCATGTTTTCCTCTGTCGAAGCCCGATACGGACCGTGCCTTCCAGGACGCTTGCACCTCCGATATCCTTGCTTGCCAATTTGCTCAATCTACTACCTTCCGTTGGGCGGTTCTTCTTGGGGAAGCAGCTGCTTGGTGATTCGCTGCATCTTATATCCCAACCGTCCAACATTCGGACTCAATTCTTCCAACCACCACATCAGAAGCATTGATTTGTGACATCCAGGTATTCGATATTGTGCATACTAAGAGTCTCATACTTGGCCTGCAACTTGCTACCTGCCACTTTGCGTTTTGAGGCCGCATCCTCACTTTTGCTACCCTCACAATCCGTCCTGCGTCGCGCTAGAGCACCGTTCATTTCACCAGCGAACGTAGTCCCTAATCCTGTTTTTGACATCCTGCTCTCACGATGGCCACTCCTCCAAGGCTTCCGTCACTATCCCCAGAACGAAGTCAGAGCGCGAGTCGCGAGGAGGACGAGCTCGCGCTGAGGAACATGCTTGCCCAGCGCAACCCTGGAGGCCTCGAAAGACTGCGCTCACGTGCGCTTTCAGAGATAACCTTGGTAAGAGCAGACTGTTGCTAGCATGATCAAGGTTGCTGACTGTCCCACTACAGGTCGAGCCTCCGCCGCTGTATGATATCAATCAGATCGATGGAGCCGGCGGCAGGCCAGAGAGGACCACTCGAACTGTTCGCTTTCAAGTCGACGAAGACAATCAAGCTCGAGTGCAGAAAAGCCTGTGGAGGAGAGTCATCCAACCCATCTTACTTGCTATTGCGACAAGGTTCATCTTCCTCGTTTACTTCAGCTTAAACGCCACTCTGTTGATCCGCATTGCTGTCATGGCGTCCCACAACAAACACATGCAATACAACGAGGCCTTGCTCTGGGCTTGGGTGCAATTCGTGATGCTGGGCTTCTTGCTGCTCCGATCTCTGGGGCAAGGCTTCATGTATAGTCCGACGGGAACCCCACACGGCCTCAAGATTCTTGTTGCCATTGCTGGCATCTCTTTACTGGGAGTGGGCCTTGGAGCTTTCCCACTTTTCCTCATCTAGGGCATGTTGCAAAAGGGGCCTGAGCCTCGCACTAGTCACCGTTAGCCCGTGTGATTCTCGGAAGATGAAGATGAATTCGGTCATCAGCTGTTTGCTCTTCCCTTGAGGTCTTCGGGTGGAGGGGAAGGAGAGGTTGTGGGAAGATGAAGATAGGGGCTATAGTCTGCATTAATCCGATTGCATTTCAGCTGTGCTTCCAAGGATCGTCGAGCACTTGTTCACTTGCACGACATTCACTTTAGCGTATGCACTGCATTGCTTCAGTTAGCTTGTCTAAAGCCTCTTCAACGACCTTTGCTACGGACAGCGGATGTCACAAGCACCATGATGCCATGATGCCATGATACCATGAGCACGAGAACAGAAGGGCCCTTTGTAGACGAGGTGTAGAGGATTTCCCCATCTCTTTCTGGGCACGAGACTGGATCTGGCACTTTTCACGCTCTGTTGCTGTTGCAATCGTCTGCTCGCTGACCTCCCTACCAATTGACAGTTCCCTGCCTTGGTCTTTCTCTTGCTGTCCCCTCATAAACCCATTCAAGGGGCTGGGCTGGGCTGGGTTTGGTTTGCCTGCCTGCGCCTCTTTTTTTTCATCTTCATTCCCTCTCCTGGTATTGCGAGCACAAGAGGCCTCATCTTATCCCGTAGGGCAAAAACCTGTGGTCCTTCTTCCTCCTCCTCCCGCCACTAACACCTTTTCAACGCCCGTTTCTGTTGGCTCGCCACTCCCTCCTTATCCTTCTCCTCTCCTCTCCTCTCATCTCCGGAATCTCTCCCTCGTCTCTCTTTCACAAACAAACGGCGATCCCCTGGCGCAGTCACCACCTGCACCCCCTTCTTCGGGAGTCACGCACTGTGGCGCTCTAGAGAATCGGAGAATCGGAGAATCGGAGAATCAGAGAATCAGAGAATCAGAGACGGATGGGAGGGAACACTGAAACAGAAATCTACTTAGCGATAGTGTCAACGCTAGAATCGAATACAACGTATCGTTCAACTCACGCACGAGTGGAAGAATGAGCAGGACGTGGAAAAATTTCCCATCCTTAACCCAGGGAACAAGATGGAACGCTTCTAGGTCCTGCATGTGTCAAGGAGAACAACAAGCAGAGCTAGGCACATTCGGCATGTAGGCAATAGAACAGAAAGATTCATTTGAATGACTTTGCATTGTGTGAGCTAGACTAGGAGATACCATGCAGCCAGCATGTGGACAATGTCCGAGCTGTAGCATGGTTGACAACCGCCGCTCAACTCGAGCGCACCCTCATTAGAGGCATGGACGAGAAGACCTGTTCGACTGTGCTTTTTTTTTGTAAATTTCCTTTTTCTCCGCAAAACCAATGTTGAACTAAGAAAGGCCCGTTGCTAGGGCATCGCCTTTTGTTCCGAAGCAGAGACTTCAACTGCTTTGAAAGCTCCTGAGCCCTGTTCGCATGTTCTGACTGCACAGGCAGGTGACTGATGCAGTGCATGTAACTGAGTGAATCGTACTCGGACAAGAGAATGCGAATGTATGCAGACCCAGATTGGCTGCCGCATCCCAAGGTTCGGACTCGGTCGAGGTCAGAGGATGTCTACCTTGGTGGTTTTGAGAAGATGCTCAAATGCTCAAATGTACCACATGGCGAAGACGATGCCGTTGACGTTGAAAAGAGGCATAAGAGGTTTGACCTCGGTGTCGGAAGGCTCCGAGCTTCGGCTTGGGTTTTGTTGCTTGAAGCCAGCACCGCCTTGAGGACCATGAGTCGCGGGCAAGTCTTCGTGGGCCTTTGCACGGTTTGACGCCAGATGAGCGTAGTAAACTGCCGGGTGCAACGACACAGAAGTGGTCGAGCGCATGTATTGGTAGCAGTGTTCGTAGATCATGTTCTGGATCAACTCCGGACGGTGGTTGGCCTCGTCAAGAAGAACAGAGTAGTGCACTGGACGAGATGTTCCTTGGAGCGCGATGTGCGAGTAGAGATAGAAATCAAACTCATTAAGTTGAGTGACATCTCTCTCGATCAACATGCCCGGAAGAGGGTTGCCTTTGTTGTCAGCGCCGTCCTTGTCTGGAAAGCAACGGACATGATGCCGCTTGTTGGCACTGATGACCGTGATTTTGCCCTGGAACTTCTGGCCATCCATACAAGACTCAATGACGCTTCTGATGTGCGGGACTTCTTGTTGGAGGACGTGCTCGAACTGATTGGTAGAGACGCCATCACGCATATAGTAGACTTGCTGAGGAGATCGGCCGCCGCCCACCTGCGACATCCACTCTCGAACGAGAGGCCTCAAGATGTTCCGCCAGTTAGCCTCTGAGATCATTTCCACTCGACGGCCGTTGGTTTGACATGCTGCAGCGTACCGTCCGCCGAATCGATCAAACGACACGGTCACGGCCGCCATCGACGGCTGTTGACTGCCAGGTGAAGCATGCGAGACGTCAGCTCCAATGATCATAGTCGGCACTTGGAACGATTTGAATCCACTTGTCGGATGGGGTATGGCTTGAGCGGTCGTGCCGCCCAATTTGGCGTTCACTTTCATCAGGACATTGGAATAATACTGCGGGTTGCCCTTCAGGACCTGTTGGATTTGCATGACCTGGGAGACGACACCAAAGCGACAATCGCAAGACTTCTTGATTCGCAGATAGTGGAAGGACTGACGATCTTGAACTAAGAAGATCAAGAGTTGCGGTCGGCGATTGAACTTGTTCCCGGTGGCTTGATGTAAGGCAGCAACAGCAGCTCCTGCGTCAGCGGAAAGGGTGGTGACATAGGGTGGAGCGTTCGCAACTTGTCCTCCGTGGTTTCGATAGGCGCGGGCAAAGTCGAGAACAAACTGGTCAATCTGAGCCTTCTCGACCTTGAATCGACCGGGGAAGACGCCTACACCCCAAGAGACAAGCTCCTGAGGGTTTCGACTCAAGAAGGTCTTTGCTTTGAGATCCCAACGGCCTCGCGTACCCACCTGCTCCACCTTGTTGCCGAACTTGATGCCGGGGGCTGGAAGAATACGTGCCATAGTCTTGATAGGCGCCGGGTTGATATGAAGGCGATAGTTCTTCAGGTAGTTGTCACCTTCCCAGTTCAACCAGCTCTTGCCCTCATTGATAGCATTCAGTCGAACATTGGGGGGCGACACGGCAAACTTGATCATGTTGGCAGTTTGAATTTCGTCCAATTTTGCACCATATCGCTGACCCTCCATGATGGAGAGGAGTTCCATAGGATATTTGACACCCTGGCGTGTCATCTCCACAAGTCTTAGCTTGGGGTATTGCAAGGTGAGGTTGTATTTGCGTTTGAAATAGTGCGCCACAGAAACCATCTCTCCAGTAGATTGCCTAGTGACCGGATCCTTCCATTCAATCATCTCCTCGTTGGCATTGTTGATATCAAACCGATAGATCTTCCACACCTTGTCTGGGTTTGGATTGCCCTTGTACGAGGCCTTGACCTCGACCCCTTTGAAAGCTTTCTGTAGGGTAACGTGGAATTCGGTGATCGATCGATGACCATTATCTCGATATGGCTCCATTCGATTCGCGATGTCATTGAGGTCTTTGATTTCCCTCCACTTTGTGACAATGGCTGAGGTCAAAGACGTTGGTCTCCAGAAACAAGTGTTTGCCACGTCCACGTTGACGATCATCTTCTGACCCTCAGCGAGACGCATTGATTGGTAAACGCCACGCCAGACCTCGATGCCACCGCCTAGATCAGCACGCTGACCCTGACGCCGAAAGAGGTTTCGGCGGATGGGAATGAATTGAGGTGAAGATCTAGGGCTTTCTCGGAGAAGATGGTCCAAGAACATGAGTCCCTCGGCGACGTACTGGTTCATCTGCACACGGCCCTCAATGTATTGTTGAATGAGGCTGACATCAAGTTCTCGAGTCTTTTTGATCGCCACACGGAAAGAATTTCTGCCGTCTGCTCGAGGGGGACGACCCTCTTCCTGATCGAGATCGACCATGAGGCGAATTTCATTGTGGTCGCGTAAGGACCAAGCAAGACGATTGCCGTCCCAGATGATAGGTGGCCCAGTTGCGTTCTTGCGAGCCTGCGAATCCCACACCTTGTTGTTGACAGTTCGCTTCTCTCCGCCACTGCCGATGACGACGTCGTACTGGAAGATTTTGATGTTGGGAAATTGGAGAACCTTGTATGCGTTCAGGTTGGCGCCAACGGCTCTGCCGGTAGTGTTGTAGCCAGGCCGCTTTGTATATTGTGTCGGAAGCGAGTACTGTTTCGAGGGGTTAGTTTGGCTTTTTGTAATCATGGGGAGGAATTGCCAACATCGCTCCAGGGCTTCGGGAATGTAGATCACTTCAATGACTGGAGAGGGAGGAGCAGGATGACCAGCACCAGATCCAGACCCTCTGGAAGCAGGAGGCGCCATGTTGCAAGGAATAGAAAAGAGATGTGGAGGATCAGAAAGGTAGAGTGCAAGGGACAAGAGGGCTTAAATGGTCTGGGGGAGGCAGTTGTGTGAAGGGAGTGGAGGCAGTTGTGTGGAGGGA